AAACACAGAGGCAAATGAGCGGCACTATTCAATTGATCTGAATTCCAGATACATCATCTGGCCTTCTGTTAACAAGCCTTAAGATGAATTAGAGGCACAAAAAAGCATGTGATCTGCAATACCTATGTACACTTTACATAATTCTGCTTTGGCATCATAAGCTTGTTTGTTGCTTGTATTAGGCTACAGGCACTGTGATGACTGTGAGGGCAGTCAGGCAAAGACTTGCCTTCTCACACCAGCCTTAAATCAAGAMTGCTTTGCAGTAGTGACCCCCAAAGCAAATCTGGGCTAACATACTCTACTACACGAGTGTAATTGGACAGAGCAATCCCTGCCTAAGTCTGCTTGCTTATCAGAATCCCAACTGCTTAAAAACAATATGTTTAAAAAAATTTATAATAAATTAAATTTATAATATATTGATCCCTAGTTTGTCCCACCCTCAGAATTACTTTAGAAAGTAAGTCCACTCTTCAGCCACACCAGTCAAGTGCTTACCATACTCCTGGAACCAGTTTTCACTGAAATGCAATACCTGATTTTGGTGACAACCACATCTCGTGTGTGTGCAGGTAAAACATGTTCATCTTCCCACTACATTTGATCAATTGAAGTCAATAAGTAGATCAATCTAGCTTCTGCAATTTAAGTTAAAAATGCAAGAAACCGATAGAACTATAGAAAAAGGCATAAAATCTATTAGTTCTAAGATACTGAAGGAACTATCTGAAACATTAAAATTTCTTTCTACACACATTCCTGTCTACTTCCTCTCTGTTAAAGGTGAAACTAGTATTCTGCTAGTGCACTTCCCCTAATCACATCAGCCTAAACTCAGCTTTCATGACTTTTCCTTAAGTAAAATAACCATTAATCAAAAAAAAAACAAAACCCAAAGACCCAATAAAAACCAAACAAACAACATGATGGCTTTAAAAAGAGTAAATACATATAGAGTTAAATATCAAAATCAGATATTTTGATCTGATCACTTAACAGAGGTGCATGTGCAATGAAAGATCAGTTCAGTGTAAAGTTACATTTATCATTGTGTTTTAAAGGCTACCAGAGTCAAATAACTTCTTAAAAATAATATACATTGAGTTTTGTATTTTAATCTTTAATTGTTTCCAAGTTGCTGATTAAAGAACAGCGTACAATAACATGACTTCTTTCTTCTGTGGGACAGGAGATATACCTATTAAGAAAAAAAAAGCTGAAGTCTTATGTCAAATGGAGCTAAAGAAAATGGCTGCCAAAGTAAGGAAGCTGCTGCATGCATCAGTGATGCAAGACAAAGATCAACTCTAAAGRGAAGATTCACATTAATATTATTTTTGTTTTAATACCCAATAATTTTCTAYTCTATTAGGTAAAAAAATAAGAGTGGGCATTAGCTTGTTCAGAAATTCTGTCAAAGCAAGCATAAGCACTTGTTCTCAAGAGTCACTTTACTAACATAAAACCCCAAAGGAGAAATATTGCGCTGTTAGGGGTGGAGCAGGGMATCTCAGGGAAGCGAAAGGTCCAGGGACAAATGCTATCACAGCGCAGACCCCAGCTTTCAGCAGAAGATGCTGCACAGAGCGACCTCGAGGACACACCCGGACTGCTCCGAGTGTACAAACTTAATCACAGCAGAGCCTACACAGATCCGCAAGGGAAAGCTCTGGGTTTGACACTGCAGGGTATTTCCTGAGCAAGCAGCTATCCATCCCCTTCCAACCACAACCAGCCTTCCCCGGCTGCCCGAGCACTGGGGCTGGGCAAACGCTGCCATTGMGTACCGCAGAGAGCTGGACTTTTGCCCTCCGACACAGCTGCCCCCTGCTCCTTAGGCTGGCATGGGCTGTGAACAAGTGTGGGAAGCGGCATTTAGTTGGCTCAAGCAGCTGCTGTCGGCAWCCTCCCAGAAAAAACAACAGACTGGAAACAAGCCGATCAAACACCACCACTGGACTGCTCCGGCTTAAATGAAGTCAGGAATTCAGTGCTTGGCTCCATCTCGCTCAAGCAAAACAGAGGGCAACAAACACGCCTGTGTGACAGCTTTTTTCTTGACATCCAGCAGCGAAAGCAACAAGAACATGTTAATYCATCAAAAACAGTCCTGAGATTCARCACATGGTGAACAAATGAATGGATTTTWAAGCTCAGCTTGGAGATCACTACATTTTCAGACAGAKCCAGTCTRCTGCTTTAACTATTTTCATCAGTRAATTAAATRCAAATTGACAAAAAGCCAAACAGCACACAGGCTGCAAAGTAACAAATGCCGAGCTAGTGASTTTTGACTTAGTGTCAGATTTATCACGTGTAATGACAAGCATGCACTCATTACTTTTATAAAATTTTAAAGTTACAGATTTGACTCAATCTAGTAGTATAACGATATTGATAAAAAAAATAATGTAATAGAGCAACAGCCTTAAAGTAGCAAARAAAGTAAATTTGAGAAGAAACTTTTAAGTGACATAGAAACCTACTTTGCCATTTCACGGAACATTTAAACTTGCCCATAGTGAGAAAACACAACTGCGACACTTAAAATATTATTCAGCTCTTTAAATGTCATTAATGCAGCACCACATGCCAACTATTACACATTCATCTCTTCACTTTTTGGAGAGGATCATTATAAACTGGGTAGAGTTCTTTCTTATTAATAGCATGCTTATATAAACCAAAATAAAACAGATCTTTGATCTGTAATACTGAGCTTCAGCAAAGCAAAGCACCAGCTTCTGAGGCTGGAAAGTTCAGGACAAGCATCTTAAGCCTAAGGGGATCTTCCACAGTCACAGACACACCAGGAGACTGCTGTCAACAGATAAAGTCCTGCCCTTCCCCGTAGCCATGTCCCTCRCACACAGCTGCCAAGCACCTACTGCACCAGTCAGCTCTGGGAAATTATTTTACTAAGCACTAATATAGCAARGCAGCAGGCTGAGCCAGATTTCAGAAGCTGCCCATACTTCTGTGTCAGATGGGTATGACTGTGCAATTGCACATCCAAACACAAATTTCATCTAAAATGGCAACCAGCAATGCTCCTCTGAGTTGCCAACGGAGCAATGACTGGACAAAAGCATAATAACCAATGAAATAATTTATTGTTATTATTGGCTTTGTCTGCATTTTTCCTGTCCTAGGGCGAYCTTTCCACAAAAACTTAATCTGAGWCTAAGGTAATATGCATGAACAGAGACACCCTAAACTGAAAAGTCATCACTAAAAGCAAACCCACTTGCTTCAAATGTTTTGAAAAGGAAGTATTTTGCTTTGTGGCAGTTTAAAAAAAATAAAATTAAAAAACAGCACTAAATTACTCACAAAAATGCAAAAAATTGTTCTTCAGTTTCAAGAACTTTTGCATTCAAGGACGCTGGATAACATGTGAGATATGAGTGTTTACAAGGCAAGGGCAACTGGAGTTTTAGACATGACTTAYTTCCTTTGCTATTCTGAAATTAATCTCAAGTGCTCAGAAGAATCATTTCATATGAAGGAAAAAATGCTTTGACAATCTCTAGCTTTTGAAAGTACTTTCAAGAAAAGGTTCAACAAAACATGAGATTTCACCTATGATTTAGCAGTTCTTCTCCCTCCACACCCAGTACCTTCTGAAATACAAACAAGATAAAAAGCATTTCTAACAAAGTCAGAAACTGGAAAAACTTTACTTAAAAAAATCACAAGTTTTTTCAGGCTTCTGCTGTTATCTGTAGAACTACTTTCCTTCTACTCTCTCTAATGAAGGTGCTAGAGCTTACACAACAGAGCAGGCCTTGGTAAATTAGCACACAGCCAAATCAATTGAYAGATGGGTTGCACATGATGTACAGTCTCAAATGCAGTCAAACACACAGCTTATTCAAAATGAAGGCAAGTTTCCCCCTTTTGCAAATGTAACATACAGTCRTCCTGAGAGCTGGAATGCCTGATAAGGCATTATTTGATAAACACTGGACACCACCTTTCAAGTTTCAAAGGCATTAACAGTCAGCAAAGAATGCTGAGTGAATCAAACAAACCTCTTGGGATTTTAATGCCAAATTATGTCCAAATTTAGAGTCTTGATGAAGTCACTAGGCACAAGAACGGAGTCTGATTACTGTAAAATCTACTAAAGACAGAACACAGATATTCTAAAACGGCTAAAGAACAAAGGTTAGTTTGTGCTTACTCTTATTTAAACCCTTAGRTACCTCTAGAAAAGTAGAGCGTGGAAGACTTAATTATGTGTTGTAYAGTTTCTTGAAACAGGTCTGTATTTTTTTTTTTAAGTAATATGGTTAAACCAGCTTGCAAAAAGCAGTAATGACAAACCTGCCAAAACGCTCGGATCGAAAACTGTAACTTCACGCATTCCAAGCTGATATCTACGTTATAATGGATAACATYATCGATGAAAATGATGCTATCATTTCGGAGAGCAAGGATATTTTCATTAATTCAACCCGCACAGGACAAAGTTGCAAATACCCTGTCTGCAAATTCAAACCTAGTTTTCTTCACCGCACTGAACACTCCCCATGAATGATAAGCGGATCTTAACACCCACCTTAGCCATCTGTTAGCAAAAAAAAAAAGGGCTCCTGGCAAAGATGCCCGCACGCTCCGCCGCACCCCGCCCGCAGGGGCTCCGGCGAGCGGGCTCGGAGCGCGGCCGCCGCAGGGAGGGGCAGGCGGGGCTCGGTGCGGGAGCCGAGCAGCGCCCAGACAAAGCACGGGGAGCCCGTTCCTGCCTCCGCCCGGCCCCACGGGCTCCGATCAGGGGCCGCTGCCTGCCGCCTTTGTCCGCTGCCCCCTCCCGCCTCAGCCCCGCCGCTCCCCAGCACTCCCGGCCGCGGGGGCTCCGGGAAGGGGGAAGGCGGTGCCCGGCCCCGGCTCCAGCCGCCGCCACCGCCCGAGCACGCCCCATCCTCAGCACAAAGGGCAGACCCGCCTCGCCCCGGGCTCCTGCCGGCAGCCCCGGCCCCATCGCCAACTCTCACCTTCCAGCCCCTCCATGGCGCGCCCCCACCGCCGGCTCGGGCTGGGCTCGCTCTCCGACCGCCGCTGCTGTGGCAACGCCGCCACCTCCCGGCCCGCCAACAAGCGCCGCTCCCATTGGCCGGGCGGGCGGCGGCCACAGCCCCGGGGCGGGCGGGCGGCCTGAGCCCCT